TTTTCATATCCTTATCAGATTTAGTGTTGTAAGCTTTGCATTGCAAAATAAAAATATTGAAAAGTTAGTGTAGGTTCCAAACTTTTTTTGTTTCATTTCTTTTTTTAGCACATAAATAATTTTGACGATTGATCTAAAATATATTATTGTAATTTTGTTATGTTATATTTTAAATTTAAAAAAAAAAATAATATTAATATACGTACTATATAAAAAAAAGCATTAAAAATATTTTCAGTGGTATATTATTATTATAAAATTATATATGTGACTCACTCGGCATAGTGTGGTTTCTGCTATCAATCATGAAACATTGCAACATGATTGAGATTTGAGAGTGTAGAATGCGCCACCCGATTCTACTAGTTTGCGGAAAGATGACCATCTGAGTTCTTAGTGTCAAACACCTTACCAATTGCCATATAATCAAATTACTAAAATAAAGCAAATTTTATCAAGTAATTTTACACAGAATATCCTGCATATTTAAAACCCCTTTGACCACAACTTCTCTTAATTTATTTTTAAAAGTTGTTGAATAAAAGTTTTTTTTAATAATGTGTGTTATTTATGATGCATACAAATATTTTGATGATTTTTTTATTACTAGATGATTTATTTACCAACTGTTGAGTTAAAAATGACTTAATTTTTTTCTTACATTTTGTTAAATATACAATATTATTTTAAAAACTTTTTATTTTGTTTTTRAACTTTTACGTAAGGAATTTGTTTTTGTAAAATGTGTTGGTGTATTTAATATATAAAATAAAAAAATAAGATAGAAGTGAAAAATATTAAATTTTTATAATGTTTTATTCATTAATTATTATTATTTGTACACTTAAATTTGTCATTTTGACCCTAAATGACAGACTATATTCTTACACTAAAATGTGCAAGTTTTCTTTTGCGGAAAGGTACATTCTTATGCAAATTCTTGGATATTGTAAAATTATACGTATATAAATTTATAATAAGGATGACACATAAACACCTCATGGCCAAAGAAGAACCCCCTCAATGTGCAGYCTGCGGGRTTACACTRACTGTGAAACATATAATAACAKAGTGTTATCAATATTCAGAAGTTTTGGAGAAATACAACATTCCACCCAACTTGTATGGAGCTCTGGGACCGAGCAACGAGACCACATCGAACATGATAGCCTTTCTCAAAGGATCAGATTTATACAACAAAATTTAAACGTATTGATAAAAAAAAAAA